GTACTCCCTGGCTTTTGTGCTCGGTGTGCTCGGGAATGGAGTGGTTATCTGGGTGACCAGGTTCAAGATGAAGAAAACTGTTAACACAGTTTGGTTCCTCAACCTTGCTGTGGATGACTTCCTCTTCACTGCATTTTTGCCCCTGAGTGTGACTTACACAGCTTTGGATTTCCACTGGCCTTTTGGCAACTTCATGTGCAAGCTGAACACCACCATCAGCTTTCTGAACATGTTTGCCAGTGTCTACATTCTGGTGGTGATCAGTGTGGACAGATGTGTGTCTGTGGTGTGGCCCGTCTGGGCTCAGAACCACCGAAATGTACGCAGAGTATCCTGTGTGAGTCTGTGTGTTTGGGTGGTGGCTTTGATTCTCAGTGCTCCATACTTCATCTTCAGGGACGTCGGACCATCGTACCACAATAAGGATATCATCAACTGCTTCAACAACTATGCTCTTTCTGGTGACGAGGACACATATAATGAGACTCATCAGGCCATGATTATCACGCGTTTCCTACTGGGATTTGTTGTGCCCTTTACTGTCATTGTCTTGTGTTATGCTGTTATAATCCATCGTCTCAGAAGAAACCGCACACTGGCCAATCAGTCAAGTCGCCCCTTTAACATCATTGCTGCCATTATCATCACTTTCTTTCTGTGCTGGGCTCCCTTTCACATCATGGGTCTAATTGAGATGGCAAATCACATGCCAGAATATTCAAGTGAGATATTAGATGATATCACCATAATTGGGTTACCAATAGCCACCAGTATGGCCTTTCTCAACAGCTGCCTGAATCCACTGCTGTATGTGTTCATGGGCCAGGATTTTAAGAGTCAAGTCCACAAATCTATCCACAACATCTTGGAGACTGCCTTCCAGGAAGAAGAGAAACGCTCTTATATCTATACAAATGCAACCACTCAGAACAATAAGAAGTTAGAGTCTGACACACAGTTGTAATGCGATTAAAGAGATAAATACACTGTACTGTACATAGTGACTTTAACTGTGTCTAACAAATTACCTTTTCTTTAAATTCATGGATCCTCTCAAATTATAGAGTTAATCTCTTAAGATTTAATAATATTAATGAATTAATTTTAGGAATGTTGATCAAAAGCATTCTCTTTTTTAACTATATTATATATTATTACTGTGATATTGTACAGCAAGTTAACATTTCTGGGGGCATTTGAAACACTTTGGAATGCTAAAATATTTTAGTGTACCTTCTTAACATTCTTAATCAAAAAACAAAATAATGCAATGCCTATTACGCACAGTATTCTCCATATGTACCAAAAACAAGTGAGAAACACATAAAAAGTGACAAACAGGAGCAACTTAAATCCATCTATACTACCTGCGATTGTCTCAGTCCCTGTATCTTTTGCCCAAGTTTTTATTTTCGCAATAATTTTTGTTGTTGTGTTTATTTATTTTGGGTTTTGTACTTTTATTTACAAATTGTGGAAATGGATCGTTTTCTTTCTGGTTGTCTCAGTTTTGTGTTTATGTTTTCTTAGTTTTACTTATTTTACAACAACAACAACAACAACAATCTTTATTTATAGAGCACATTAAAAGCCAGGGGCATGCCAAAGTGCTTTACATAAAACAATAAAACAATAAAATGATTTACACTAAAACATC